CCTACCGGACGGCAAACCCTTGTCAATGCATTTTTGCACGACCATGATTTGATAAATAAATACAGGTATTGGATTCCAAAGTGTAAGGACTTTATAAGATCATACACGGTTGACATTAGCAGAGTAAAAAGTCCACCGACACAGATGAGCCCACTCGAAGGCGTTAACAGTGCGCGACAGCTTCGAGGGTGCCTTTGAGCATAACGTTTGTTACAAAAATGTTAGCCAGAAAAGTTTAATATATCATATGTAGCAGTCGGTCCAATCTGCAACTTGTAAAAACCGAAGATTACACACCGCCCCTGGTCGAGCAGGCGCGTTACAATTGGCGAAGCGGTTCCATAACATGTGGTTCTAGTGTCGGCCCTCGCGAGGAATGTCTTAAAAATGATAATCCAAACTCAATTAAACCACTCTGCAACTTGCTATTTTGAACAAATCCCGAATGTGTATAGTCTTGCCAAAACGATGCTTCAAAGTTTCAAAACTAGTGAATTTTCATCCTATAAAGTTATACATTTATCCAATTATCAGCCCTCCTGTGACTAATGGGTATACACATATTATGACCAATTTATTGGATATTATTCTGTATAATACGTTTTCATTGGTCTAAACTACTGCTGGACGTTACAGCTGTTTTTTTCCTGTAGAATTTCTCATTTATGTCCAATTAAAACGCCGTTTGAAGCAAATTCCGCGATTATGAAAGACAAACACTACAGTGCCTTTAAATTCACAAAACGTGATGTAGTTTTCGAGAAATGTCCAAAATACTGAAATGAATGGTTATGAGCCTGGTCAAAAAACATGAGTACATACACTGTTTTTCCACATTTAGAGGTCATTTGAACATCAACCTTCATCTCAACAACAGGGTATGACTTTCTAATCGATAACTAACACTCACAGAACGTGTGTAGATGCCACAAGGCGTGCTTTTCACGCTTGAGGAGCAAGGATCAATCCTGGCCTTTCACAAGGCTGGTTGGTCGATCCGACGCATTTCAAAGGAAGTGTTTGCGTCCAAGGGCGCTATCTGGAGGTTCCTTAGGTCACCTGAGACCTATGGAACGTCCAAAAGACAAGGCCGAAAGTCCAAATTGGACGAACGGGGCCATCGTCGTATCCTGCGGGTTGCATCCGAAGGCAAACCAAGCTCAAGTAGGATTTAGCACGAGCTTAATCTACACGTATCTCCACTACTCTTCGTCGACTTTTATCGTGAACACCCCACCTCAAGTACAAGAAGCGACTCCACGATTAACGGCGGCGCACAAGACGGCTCGCGTGGAGTGGGCAAAATCCCATGTGAACCTCGGCCTTGGTTGGAACCAAGTGGTCTTCTCCGATGAGAAATTTAACCTGGAGGGTCCTGACGGTGTGTAGTATTACTGGCATGACCTTCGCAAGCAAGAGCAGACCTATTTGAGCCGCCAAAATGGTGGTGGAGTGTAATGATTTGGGCTGGATTTTCCAGCAAAGGTCTATCTGATGTCGCGTTCATGCAGGGGCACCAGGACTCCTATGTCTATTGTGATACGGTGGCGGACTGTCTCCTTCCTTTTGTCCATGCCAACCATGCCGATGGTTTTGTCTTCCAACAAGACATGCAAGTATCCATCCGAGCGCGGAGACCAAGGCGTTTTTGGCCGAGCAAAATGTCCCCCTGCTGAGCTGGCCCTCGCTCTCCCCCGATCTAAATCCAATCGAAAACGTTTGGGGATACCTTGTGCGAAAGGTCTACGCGAATGGACGCCAGTTTTCGACGGTTACTGAGCTCAAGAGCGAAATTTTGCGCCCGTGGGACGCCATTGACCAAGGGTTCATCTTGATGCTTATTGCTTCAATGAAATCGCGTTGTGTCGATGTCTTGCAATGCAAGGGGTCGTGTACCAAGTATTAGGATGGAATGCAGTTAACGATTTATCAATAAATGTCGTTTTACATAAAAATTGTGAACTGTACCCATGTTAAATGGCCAGACTTTATTTTTTTTGGCTTGTTTCAGTATGTTGCACCTTTCTCGTCTTGTACAACTCGTTTGTGTAAAGCACAGGTATCAAAACAAGCGTCATGGCAATACACATCAATTGAGACTGAATGCGTTGCATGTACGCACTCAAAAAAAATCTCACGAAACGAAAACTGGTGTACCCATCTTCTATGTCCAACACTGTATATCGTTGGGTCGCAGAAAACCTCTTCATAATCGAAACAATTCTGAGAAGCACCCTCGAAGCTGTCGAGCACTGTCAAAGGTATGCATCAACGATACTTGAGTATGCCCGTGTGAGCCCAACAATTCCGAATAGTCGTAGCTGAACACCCCATGCACGTGTGAGCCCAACAATTCCGAATAGTCGTAGCTGACACCTCGTCCCAATTCTAAGGGTACTCGGCTGTCCTTAAGAATGCGCCCAGCTGTGCTTGAGTGGATGACACATCCAAACTCTTTTTTGGCCCACTCGAACTCCTGAGCTAGGGTCAATGACCCTTCTGGCTGGTTTTTGTAGAAGACACGCAATGTATATTTTTCTTGCAAGGTCAATCTTCTTCCACAGGATGGCATTTCGTTTGACGAGGAGCCAATTTTGAATTTCAAATCGATCCTCTAGAAATTAATAATGATAAGTTTTTGGAAAATATTGAATATGCCCTCGTGCAAAAATGGGGGCATGACTGTATTAACCGTCCTATACGGTTAAGTATTATTGTCGAAAGTATTTTGGAATTACTAGTATTCTTGAAGTTTGGTGGACAGTTGTACTGTAAGTACCGTAGTTCGTATGTTAAAGCGATCACGATGTGGTACATCCTCCAGATTTCGATATTTCTTACCCATTAAGCCTGATCACGATGTGGTACATCCTCCAGATTTCGATATTTCTTACCCATTAATCAATATAATGTTTTGAGGTAAATAGTCAATCTACTGTCTCAGCGAACTGATACAGTGTTTGCCAGTAAAAGTCAACGAAAGTAAAAAGCACACGTCAATAAAATAAATTTTTCGAAACCTGGGGATCGTAACGAATAGATCCACTTGGATAAAATTGACTGCACGGTCTATTCTCAATCCACGATTATGCTCAGCTTTGATTGCGTCAAGCTCCCGATGCTGTTCATCATCAAAGGACAGTCAGGTGAACCATTGAAGAAGAAGGAGCTGCTGACTTTCGACCCCGCCTCTCAAGTCAAATAAATTGAAGAAGAAGGAGCTGCTGACTTTCGACCCCGCCTCTCAAGTCAAATAAATATACGAAAAGGCTCGTCTCCTTTTCACACATCACAGCCACAACATGTTACAAACAGTCGGTCCAGCGCGTAGCAGAGTAAGGCTCAAACGCAATGGAGGCTTCCCCGGGGGAAATTCTGCCGACGAACGCTGTCATGGACGCAATCGTGCGTGAGGACCCTTACGTGGGGGAGGACCCTTTCGTTCATGGGATACCGGGCGGCTTGTCACGTCCTCAGCGAGGAAACCGGTTCGGTGTGATATCCCCCGGTCGACCAACCAACTTCGGGAATCGCCCGCGTCAACCACACCAGTACATCAAGAAAGCATACACCTTCCGCGAGAAACTCAACATGATCAACTAGCAACACCTTTACGGCACAACAGCGGCGCTAAACCACTTCTATCCGCTACTGCGTGGCGTCGAGCGTCGGAGGGCGTGGTTGAGTCTCAACAAGTGGGAACGACAACGCGCACTGATCGAGGAGTATGATTACTCAAGCCGGAGTCATCTCAAGAAGGCGCGCGGAGAAGGCATTGGCACCAGCTTGAGTGCCGAGACTGAGCTGAATTTAGTTCAGTGGGTTAAGAGCATGCGTAATGAAGGTATCCCTGTGGCTACTATCATGCTGCAATTGAAGGCAAGAGAGGTTGCTGCTGAGAATGGAGAATGGTATTTTACGCAATCAATTTCGAGCATCTCAAGATTTGTGTAACGGTTTTCGTAACCGTCACAGGTTGTCTCTTCGAATGTTCACTCGTGAAGGTCAAGACAAAGAAGAAGGAGCTGACGAAGCAGTAGCGTCTTTTAGCAATCGTGTGAAAGAGGTTTGCCCTATATTAGAGTTACTACTATACGTTATTTATATATGTGCTATTCTGATATCTCACAAATATTTGGAATGCCTAGATAATGCGAAGCAATAATATATCCAAGGTATATAATGCCGATTTAACCGCTGTTTTTCTACGAGTACCTGCCAAAGAAGACCAACAACGTCAAGGGAAGCAAGATTGTCTGAGTTCGATGCGGCGGGAAGGACCAGGAGCGCGCGACGGCGATGCTTCTCGGGGACTCCAACGGCAACAAGTACCCCCGTCTTCATTTGTCTGAAGCAACGGGCTTCAAAGGTGGCCGCAACAGTCCAATCCAACTTGTCGGCTCGCTTTGGATTTGGAGTACAAGTATTTTGAGAAGTGGACTAGCTCCTGCTTGATTGGCCTAGCCGGATTTACGGTAACCCGACGGCGTGGTGGAACTCCACTATTAGCGTTGGGCTCTTAAAACACCATTTTGGAGCTCGCCCTGACATGTCAAAGAAGGTGCTACTTTTATGGGACGACGTTTGGTGCGACTTCGCCGTCAACGTCCAGGAATGTGCGGCGTCACTCAACGTCCTGCCCGCAAAAGTCCCCCCACGTTTTACGTGGTCGTGCCAGCCAGCGGATGTGGCGTGGAACAAACCATTCAAAACACAATTGCGCCAATTTTGGATCAAATGCCTCCAGCAATAGCTGCGTGACCACGTCAATGGAACTCCATTTCAAATGGTGGCTCCCGACCGCACGCGCATCGTGGAGTGGATCAATCGTACGTGGAATGCCCTGCCTGCCGCCACAATCATTCAAGGGTTTCGTCGCACTAAACTACTCTACGACGACCTTGATGTCCCCGAAGTTGAACAAGCCGAGTACAGCGACGACGAGTCAGTCAACACGGTTATACCCCGCCTGACTGATATGGCACTGATGACTAATATAGTAGCAGACGAAGCAACCTTTGAATAATACATCTATTAGTTCTCACGTGCATTTAACATGGTGCTCTCGTGAAACTAAATTACTCGGGTCGATGACACAAATATTCGATTTGACCTTTGAATTATATATGTATTAGTGCTCACATTCGTTTACATTGTTCTCTATTTACTCGGGTTGATGACACCACAAACAATATACATGGACACATCAATCATGACATCTCAATATCCACAAAGCGGGCGCGACAGCACGGCAACAATGCAGTACAGCACAAAATATAGCTCAGAAACGTAGTAAAACGACGCTGATCAAACTACACAGCATTTGCACACACACAAACTGCACAGGAAACCATCGTATGAAGCAGCGAGGCATAAACAATGAGATGCAGTGCGTGTACGTACACAACAAAGAAAAGATAGAGGATGGAAGAGGGCAAAATTCGTTGGGACCCACATATGGACGCAGCGAAGGGACGAACACACGACGCAGGACGACAGCACGTGGCCCGGAGCAGTCGGCGTTGTGCTTTATTGCCTCCCTACTTACAGTATCAATAGATAGTAACGTTGTTCTTACCGTGGTTTGTAGGCCTTCGATCCATCGCGCAGTGTGGCCGGTGTCTTGCGGCAAGCACTTGAAATTCTGCAGTGCAGTGGTCTGCAAAACTCTATAAATGTTTTCCTCTTCATATTGCGTACCTCTAATATCAGGTAATTGTTGCACGGGGTCACCGAAAGGTCGACATCAAGAAATTTGTATGATGCTCTTAACATCCGCAACTTGAACTTTAATCATTCAGTGGGCTACCTCTTTAAATTTGTATAAATTTATACACGTAAGTGCTTCTTTAACATACGAAGTACAGTTAATTGAGTTTGGATTATCATTTTTAAGACATTCCTCCGCGAGGGCCGACACTAGAACCACATGTTATGGAACCGCTTCGCCAATTGTAACGCGCCTGCTCGACCAGGGGCGGTGTGTAATCTTCGGTATTTACTTCGCTCAACGCATCATACCTCGTGCTTCGACCGATCTTCTTCGAAGTTCGGTCCTCGTCTTCGTACGCGGCCCTTGTTATCCGATTTCCCCGCGGAGGGACGGATAATTCCTTGCGGAAATAATCCGGGGAAGCCGGGGATCGAACCCACGACCTTCGAGTTAAGAAACCGATGCTCTACCACCTGAGCTATTCCCCCCCCACATACGAAGTACGGTAGTGTCCGTTTGGGCGAGAAGAATGCAAATAAAATTTCCAGGAGCCGATTTTGATGATGATTTTGATGCTGTTTCTTACAATCTTTTCGTCACTATCCACATAGTTCGAAGTATTCTTCATGCAGAATCTTGAAGGCCTGACTGAGAAACTCTGCTCTACGTTCGCATGCACCGATTCATGAACACAAACGTGATATTATAATAATGCAGAATATGATTATAGTAAGAATTTCTCAGTAGTTTTAATAAATGGTACCTCTCAGTAGTAATGCTATACATAATTCAACGGTTATTTTATTTTACTCAAGTATAGTATACTTCGAAGTACCAGTTATATAATTACGATTCCTTGAAGTACGTTCCATTAGGTGCTGAAACTTCATTTAAACCTGGTGGAGTTGTATATCACTGTCAATTGCAGGCAAAACAAATCCCTCACGGACTGCACGTTAAATTCCTGAATTCAAATATACCCTTGTATCGAGAAAATACATCCTAAGGCAAAAGTTATGGGAGTCACAAATCTTGCATTCGTTCCGCCCAAACGGACAGTACCGACCGAGAACGAGGCCTCTTTTTGTTGTTCACGAGGTGTCTCGTTAATCTAGGCAATGATGTCGATTCGTTGTCACGAAATGTCGTAAATATTGGCAAATGTGCTGGTTCATGAAGACTGAAATAACGAGTCTGGTCGTGTTGACGAGAGGTGTCGCTGCGATTTACGCTACAAGGACATGATGCTGTTGGTATGGGTCCCAAGAAATCGGTCAGCTCGTTTCAATGCCACGGCAAGAGGTGACACCACTGGTTGTACGGGATACTCGGCCAAATATCGCGCCATCCTTTTACAGCAATGCAGTCATGTAGAGCGGACAGCAATATTGATGCCAGGTTGCTGTCGCTAAGAATCGTGTCTCGCGCAATTCGACCACCTTTCGAAGCTTGTCGAAAGTGGCCAGGCTGCCTTCAAGCCAGCAAAGTCACTCTAACTTGTAGCCTTGGAACTTCGTGTAAAAGGCCAAGGCGGGAGCAAATGACTACTCTTCGCTGCAAATTATGCCTCAAAGCCACTTAATGATGCAATGAGCGCATTATCCCTAGTTTTCGGTCGCACGTCGCGGTGCTCTATCTCCGACAGCAACTCGTAGACCATAGCGATTGATCATTCGACATCGGCGAGTTCTGTCCTCATGATTTACTTTAGCGCAGCATTGGCCGTGGGAGCTTCCAGGAACTTCACCGAACGATGTTCGGCCAGGTATCCTATGATTGGAGTGATGATTTTCGGTGACACATCATTGAGGACTGGTGGTGGAAGTGGTGGCTAACACGAAGGAGGGAGGACTTCGTCGTCGATGTGCCGACGCAGTGTCTTGCTTTCGACCTTGGCTTATACGCCAGTGCATAACGTCGCCTGAGTGGTCAGACCTTCGCCTTAGTGGACGATCGTGGTCAACTCGAAGTGACACTCGTCAATGTTTCCGACTGATTGGATTAGGCAGTGTGCCGTAGCAGAGGACGCGGTGGACCTCAGAACCAGTGGAATGGTGCAGAAGCCAGGGGGAACACTGGGTGGTTGCGGGCGAAACGGAAAGTGAATTAGCTTATAGTGGGCGGAGCCATCGAGGGGTCCTGGACTTGTAACGTCCGATATACTTGTCCAAATTGATCCGGGAAAAGTGTGTTGAAATCGTACTCTGAGAACGCATAAACTGTGAAAACCGCATTTACTATCTAAAAACTGTCGCTCAGTAAGCAAAGAAAAACTATGCCATATGGAAGGTGAAAAAACTTGTTGTATTTATAACCTGCTATTATTTATAAATACAAGTAAATAGTGATACAAATTTCAACTACAAAGAAATTGCAAAACATTATCAGTTCCGGATAATATCCGGTAGGACCCCTCGATAGCTCCGCCCACTGTTAGTAAGCAGTGATAACAAGTAGATGTTCGACGGACTAGCTAATGACTTGCCAATTAGGGCACGGCATCCTAGATGTACCGTGGATATGGTTGGCTATCTACTACTTCCTCCGTTCCAAATTACTGCGGAGATATGCAAAATGCATTTGTTCCATACTACGTAGTATTAGTGTGGACACTTTACTTGATTATGCTTTGAAAATCAGAAAAAATACAATGCTACCATTGGCTGGAGTCGTTATAAAATCAAAATTTCGGCCACATTATGACTTCGGCAGAAGGAACACGCGCCATTGGCGCTTCGAGTTCACGGTGAAGAACACCGAGAAATGAAGCGCGGTTGGTGAGATTCATAGAGTACCAATGCGTCACTTAACGGTACTTTTCCTGTGGCAGCAGCTTCAAGCGGTTGTTATATCTGCCCTCCATCCATTCCACGCAACACTACGGGTGACCAAAAGTACACCAAGGCCCCGGGATAATTAAATAAACCTCCATTATTTTGTATTTGTTTTGATACCCAATGACGAATCAAATATTTACAGCACGAAATTGGTTGTTATGCGCGTTGCAGCCAATAGACAATACCTTCATATTTTTATTCTCTTTCAGACATGGTAGGATTCATTAAATTTGGTCACAAAATGAAGTTTTGGGGTCGCTGGGAAGGGAAATGTCCGCAGTAATTTGGAACAGAGGAAGTATGTGAGGAAATACCTCGAAAAGGCACAAAAACTGGCCTGTTCCAAGTAGATATTTTAGAAAATGGAAAAGTGGTTCGAAGTATTGGAGATTCGGTATGAATTTCCGGACCCCATTCAATCAAATCTCGCCGAGACTATCGAGCACCAATCTCTCCCATTGGTCAATCCGAAATTACTTGTCGCTGATTGGCTACAATCCATTTTCGAGTTTCTACTGGAAAGGGCGAAGTGGATATTGGCCAATCAGATGTCTCGGCTCAATTTGTGCTCGATTGAACGAACCATGCAAAATTGGGAAATTTGAAAAAAATCGGCAATACAGTTTTCTACTTTTTTACCTCTTTTTCTGCGATTTTTACGCAACTCACTACTACGTAGTATATTGTGCATTTCAGTCAAATTTGCCTATTTTGGGGAATTGTAACTAATCGAGAAAAGGAGTATGATTGGCTATAAAGAATGAAGGTTGAAATATGATTGGCTGAAAATATTGATTGATGCGTTGCAGTCTCAAAGATGCCTTTTCAAATCAGTTCTATCGTATGAAATTTCGAAGGTCCGGCGATTGTTCGGCGGTTGATTCAACCAATCGCCGGAGGAAATTTTGAGTAGAACACAAAATCCCAAAAGTAGAAAAAGAGGTCCTACTGTAGAGTTCTTTTTCTAACAGTAAATCGAGAGAAAAAGGTGTAAATCGATTTTGATTGGCTCATGCTATTTCTGAAAACTACTTGGAACTTCCCCTAATATCGTTAGCTGCACCTGATGTTCATGACAGAACAGGATGTTCTGATTGATCTGACTGACGGACAGTGACGAACAATCCATTCGAATACCCCGAACGTACAGTACGTACTATTAATAGTATACTTCGAAGTACTATTAATAGTATTATATTCATAGCACTGGAGTACTGTAGTACAGTACTTCAAAGTAACGTTTATGTGCAGCATTCAGAACCGCTGCAAATTCAAAGTTAGATTTGTAGGTACGTATTGGCAGTGTACAGTTTTTTCCCAGTTCACTGTACAGTGATCTGGGGAAAAACTTATGTTTATACATTCTAACTAGTATGTACTAGCATGGGATTATGGCTCACGAAGGGCAGTCCCAAGAATCGCCCCATCTTCCTGCACAGAAATCTGGTGCGCCGATTACGGTCGGACGCAAGGGGCTGGCTGACGACACATTGGTGGCCATCATCATGAACAACACACCCTCCAACGCATGTGCTGTATTTAAGTATCATTGTTTAAGACATTCCCCCGCGAGGGCCGTATGTGCTGTGGTGTGGTTAATTTGCTGTCCATCCATCATACATGTATTTTTTGCATCAACTCTGATCATCGACATTGGATCAACACGCATTTCGACTGCGAGAACGGGCAATTGTTCACCGGTTTGATTTTGTTCCAGTGACTGCCGACGTATAGTACACTGGCCACAAACCTCGCAATTCATAACGGTGTGTACTGTGGGATCGATCGATTTCCCGCTCAATGCTACAGTCGCGCCGCTGCAACTCTTGGCGTTGACGCTGTCGACGCAGGGTATCGACTCCCAAAGCTGGGCACTATTTTTAAAAAATTCAATAATTTACAGGTAGACCTTACTACACTACCGGTAGGGTACTACTAGTACTATTAATACGTAGTACTATTAATAATACACCCGTAGTGCTCTCGAGTCCAGCGAAGGCACGGAGCTTCGGAGGTTCAATTACCCAACATTTTTTTCCCAGGACAGAATAGAACACATGGTTGGATTGTGACTACAGTACTACAGCTCTCCTCTACTACTAGTACACTGTAACGTTAGATCAAAGTACTATACTTTGAGATCTATCATAGCGCTCGGTAGGTCCTCCAGCTCAAGTTATGGCCAACGAGGCGAAGAGGCTCACAATTAGCCATGTCAAAAGTGCCGGCACACTGCAAATAGTCACATGTCAGGTTGATTTTGTTGTCTATTTTCTCATTGATGTCCACGTGAAACGACCAACAATCCTTTGTATGATTCCATGCCTATCATAACACGTGTCGGCCGGTTGTCGATTACTCGTACTATCAGGAAATGGAAGCATCCAAACATGTGTGGCCTCCATTGCAGTTTTGAGTTGGAACGATCTGTATCCTGGACATACGACGCAAATAATGAAACAACCAGCGCAAGAGGAGTGCATTGATAAAGGTGGGTGGGTATGTAGATCAACTAAGCTTACTCAGGCAAGCACAGCACCCACTCCAGCAATCCAACAGCTCGCTGTCAGTACAAGCGTCATGTCTCCTAAACGGTGCGTTACACCCAGTTGCTATCACCGATCAGTTGGACAAGGTAGGTAGGGCATGATTTGGGTGAATTGTGGTCCCGCCTCAGCAAGCTTACGTCTTACAAACCCGTTTTCTATGCCGGATTTACCTGGTCCATATATATAGTATTTCTATATTCAAGTGCCGTTGGCGTAAACAACTAGGCAAACCCCCCCATGTTGGGGCAAAGTCGGACGTTGGTGAGACACCAAATCGCGCGAGTTCGATTTTATGCCAGTCCAAGGGTGGCTTGCCAACCAATAAGCGAGGGTTTAGCATCTGTCAACTGCAACGATATAAATTGATACTCGTTCTCAATCATTTTTCGATTTCCACAGTCGACGCCATGTCTTGCTACTTTAAAGGGTGCGCGCGACCTGTTCTGCAAGGCGCGGCCAAATGTGACTTCCATCGACAACGCTCCATGTGTGTCGTAGCCGACTGTCGCAACCAAGTGTTTGCCCGCAATCTGTGCGTGCGCCACGGTGGCAAGAAGTCTTGTGTCCACGAAGGCTGTCGGGAAAATGTTCGCGTGGGAGACCTCTGCGGGAAGCATGGCGCCAGCGCCCACCGCAAAATGTGCATTGAAGACGGCTGCAACAAGTTTGCGCAGACCAAACAACGCTGCTCGGCCCACGGAGGCGGCCAACGCTGCAAACGATCCGGCTGCTTTGCCCACGCCCGCCGAGGCGGGTTCTGTACTCGGCACAGTTCCCTCAGTCGCCTGAACAAGGCAGATCGGTCCGAAGAATTGGTCGAAGTGTGTGACAGAGTGCAGTGTCCGCCGTTTACTTTATTTCCAAAGGTAGCCGCTCCTGCCGTGAACAAACTCAGCTTGAGTTTGATATTAAACCCCCACGAGTCCTCCAGGCGTAGTAGTGTCGAGTGGACGTAATACCTCGTCGAATAATCGACCGCCGTATTTATTATTGATCCAACGTTACTCGGGTTTCAATGCATTACACTACAGCCTTGGATTGGAAATGATTGATAACGTTAGCTTTCTTTCACATTGTGAGCCTTAACAGTGTAAACAATTGTTTGTATCTCAGTGAAAATAGGAAGTACTTGAGTTATACGATTGGAGAACACGGACTTTACCCTTTCGACACCAAACTAAGTTACAGTATAAGCAAACTGGCCATTC